TTAAAAATAGAAAAAAAATATGAAACCCATTTTTTGTGGCTTCTAAAAAGCTGCAAATACGTTGATTGAAAAAAAAGTTTCACAAACAACCGGAAGCATTCTGTGCGTGCGTCGTTTCGCGTATCGTGGGACTCGCAGGGACGGCGATGGCAGCGGACGACGGGCGTGGGACCTCTATTTCGGAACTGTCGTTCGCGGTACTGGCGAATTCTGTCTACCTTTAAAAGGGAAATTTGGAACTGATCAAAAGAATTGGTATTCATCCCGTACGACACGCCCGGCCACCAAGCCGATTTGCACGAAGACGTCGCCGAGCCGTCGCTACCTTCTCGTGGCTGAAGATATCGCTCGCGCAAACGTCAAGCACGACGTGTCTACTTCGAGTTGAATATGCACGCGTACGATTTCTTTACAAGGTGAGAATGTCGCCAATGCGCGGTGCATCCCGACTTCGACCCGGGAGTGCTTTTGCTAGAGGAAAATCGGCAGCAAACTTTCCAACTTACAGTTTATTGGCTGATTATTACTAAGGAAAAAGATCTCTTAGTTTCGATATGCCCCAGTAGCTTAATGGGAAAGACGTCCGCTTCACACGCCGTAGGACCGGGTTCGATCCCCCGTGGAACTTTTTTTATTTTTTTTCATGTTTTTCGATGTCTACATTTTTTTCTTTTTCTTACAATTCTCACTGAAGAAACAAAAAAAAAAAAAAGAAACAATTGTTGTGGACGACACGTCGCTGAATTAAATGGTATGGGATTTCCTTTTTGACACCTGCGAACTCAATGTAATCACTTTCCACAAAATGCAAGGAGCATATAAATCAGGTAGCGTCCGCTTTCCGAGGTGCCCGTAAATGGTCTACAGGAATTGCAGCCAGCCATTGGTCGCGATCCCGTTGATCTTTCGGAAACTCTGTCGCACAATGCCACTTCTGTTTCGGACGCAGGACATGTGAGCCAGCTCTTCACGCAACATCTTGGGTGTATTCTTTTCGAAGCCGATCAAAATTCACCACGGGCACTCACTACTCGTCTCCAACTCCTCAATGTACAAAACAACTCATCTTGGAGTACAGAACAACGAGCGGAACATACATAACTGCAAAAGAATCCCACGGCGAACAGTTCCCGTACGCCGCATGTCGTCTGCTACCGGGAAGGAGAAAAAAAAACAAAAAAAACACACGGTCGGGTGTAGCCACGTGACTTCCGCCACTCGCTCTCTTCTCTCAACTTCTCCGACCTCCGTCGGGTTTCGGTTTCGGTTTCGCGCAGTTGCGTCTTTTGGCTTTATTAAAAAAATACGCTACTCTGTTGCAAAATATAAATTGGGTAGTCCTCCGACACCATAATGAAGCGCCTGGCAAAAAATTAAAAAAAATTTTGGGGGGTGTCAGTGTCCCTTTAAATACCGGTAAACCCCGAATATTAACGCCCGAGTCGGTTTTATAAGCTCTGGGAAAACGGATAAAGCCCGAATGAGAGCTGTCCACAAAAGAGAAAACCCTGAACATTTCAGAGGGAAAACGGTTTTGTCTACTACTTTATTTTCTGTTGACCAAGAAAACATCTCTAAATAAACCGTCCGCGAGGCATCGTCTTGCTTCAGAACAATATATCATATTTTTATTCTCCTTCATATTTGTACGCAGGCGTTTCCCAAGTGCTAGGGTCACGCGCATGTTCCTTGGAGGTCGAGGAATTGCATGCCAGTGTACCATTTGCTACAACATAGTCTCCGATAAGCCACTTTTACTATTTTTGTTCGACGCAATTTATGGATGCCGAAAAGCCCCGAAATGGTGGCAAGAAATAAGCCCAAAGGAGACACTCTCGAATTTGAACAAAAAATAAATTTCCAAGACGCAGAACCATATATATATTCCGCACTGATACATTGCGAGATCACTTTGTGAGCTACGCTTCGTTTTTCGGGCCCGAGCTGGTTTGGCCGATGGTCGCCTGCTACCGACGGCTTTGGTGAGCGATACTCAGCCAAGCACCTCCTGTTCTACCTCGCCTCTTCCTCAAAGCGCCGATCCAAGTTCTTAGGCAGAGGACTCCGGGGTCCGGGTTTAAATTTCAAAAGCCCCGCTAGTTAAACAAGGGTAATTATAATTCAGTATGAGTGATTAAAATTAAGTCTACCGTCAAGATCAAGGTGCCGTGTTAGCAGGTGCATTGCGTACTACAGACTACGTATGCTTTGTGTTGCCTGGGCATGCATGTAATGCGTTCCCGTTAGCACAGAGAGCGTAAAGGCTCATACACGCAACAGCGTTTTCTTATGTTTTCTTACGTTACGTTAGGAGTCACCGGCAAATGCATGCTCCATATCAAACACGAATGTCGAGGTGATTCTCGGCGTAAGTAGGCGTGAGCTCAAGTAACATAACCGAACGAAAGGAAACGGTACACTGTGGACAGGCTTTAACACTTTTAGCATAAAATGCATTCCCTTAAACACAATCTGTACTCAAAATCTGCAAGAAAATTTTATGGAGTACACGTAAAGACCAAATTACGGCGACGAATCGAGAGATTCCAACAAACTACGATTCTCAAAATACGATTAACTTTGAAAAAACAAAATAGCTAAGGAATGCCAAGCATTTGAAACGCTTAGCTCCTTGTTCTTCCGCAAATGGGATTGATTTATTCTAGGCATACCCTTAGCTTGGTTCTTTCGACGCTCTAATCAATCTAGTGCATCTACTTCCCCCAATAATATTTTGGATTGCCTAAAGTTTCAGCTCGGGAATTAATTGTTGAAAATATGTGTAAAAATAAAAAAATAAAAAACTTCCTCTCTTGTGGCACTGAACCTTGCATTCAACATGCTTCCGGCATGCTGAACATTACTGCGCACTGTTTTTTTAGGAGTGAACACGCTTTCAACCTCTGCATTTTTTTAGATTTCTACGTAGATTTCTGTGATTGGCTCTCTCAGGTGATTCTCGTGAAAGGAGACGCACGAGATCCTTTAAAGTCGATTGTTCGCCGTGAGGGGCTGTCTCCGTGCATTACAAGAAAGTGATATCAAACTGTTTTCTTTTTTTCTTTTTTTAATATCGTTTTTTTTTTAGTAACAACACAAACATTATTAAGTTGATTTTCTATGTTGACTCCGGATCGGCCCTATGAGATAGATGCTGAAACGTTCTCTCCTAAAACAATATGTCTTTATCTGTGCCCCACAGGGCACAAAGTTTGACAGCAGCTGTATTGTACGAAGTGTACTTCCAGCGAATGATGGGACACGGAGGAGCTTTAGATTCTTTAAAGAAATGAAGATAAAAACAAAGTGCGTCGGTCTTCTTGTTTACTGACTTTTTTCGCTAATCACATTTACGTTAAAGTTTGGTTTTTATTTGTTGGTTCTTTTTTTTTTTTTCTTACTTCACCACAGTGAGGCTTTCAAAATGTGATCTGCTAGAGAAAGCAGTGCCGCTTTAACGATAACCACCAAGGGCTTCAGAGGCAGCTGAAGCACCCAAAACACAGGTTAGGTGTCGCGTTTATTTGTATTTGTTCAGACGAATTATATTATGGCGATGCAATTGGGAAGAATTTAGCTTGAAGCGCTTTAATTTCGCGAAATAGAGAAAGATCAGTTTGTCATTGTACAAACTGATCTCCAACCCGTGATCAGCTAAATGCGTCGTGACGTCATCATTGGCCCCTTCAAGTAAGTCGAAAGCCGAGCAATTACCATAACACACCGCCGACGCCGTCAATCTCGCGAGCATTCCTTCACCTTTCAGCTTCTCACGTGGCCGTGTTGCGTGATTCGTTGTTCGGTTTTTATCTCATTGGCTTCGGAGCTGCAATAAATGCCTCAGACTACGTACGATCACAGCTTAAGCAACGCGGGGCGTAGCTTAACATAACCACGACCGTTCCTTAATTTTTCCTTCGTCGCTTTTCATATAGCCCAACGCCACAATCTCGGAGACAGCGTAGCTTAACATAACCACGACCGTTCCTTAATTTTTCCTTCGTCGCTTTTCATATAGCCCAACGCCAAAATCTCGGAGACAGCGTAGTGATAATGGCATACACGAAAATCCCAACTTATTGCATATTGCTATGTTATGACATTAAAATGAAGGAAAAAATTGATAGCGACCTTTACGTTCAAACTTTTCTAATGCTTAACATGTATTGAAGGGAATTTGTAAAATGATTGGTGTGTCTCGTAAGGTATATATTCCCGCTTAATTTAACGGCAGAACCGAGCTGACGTATAGGGTACAAGCAGTTTATATTCCCAACGTGCATAGGTTAGGTCACGTGACATCAAGTGACGTTACAAAACGCCACTTTTTCTGCTAAATTTAGCGGAAAATTCACGGACGGAAGAAAGGACGAACGGACTAGCGGACAAAATGTTGGGATTGGGGGGTAGCCTTAAAAAAGCATTTCACGCGTTAAAACATGGCGTAGCTTATAATTTCCACATTTCTAGCGTCGTGATTCGTACTTTGCGTTCTTATTGTCTAATCTTGCGATGAAATTGGCTGGGAATAAATGGGTGCTTGCCGCCCCTGTGTGTTCTAACAAGCGGCCAACGACTGTGGGCACTGAACACATAAGAAGCCGCTGTTCACGGCTTATTAGGATAACCATACTACCATTAGAACCCGAGCGTGTTGGTAAGGTTCAATTTGAACACGAAATAATTAACAAATAGTGTGGAGCACCCAACACGACATCTTTACGTTGGCGACCTTTCTAGTTGAAAGATGTCTTCTGTGCCTTGTCCTATTTGCTTGTTGTTTTGTGTGTAAAATGTCCACACTTGTGGCATCGTGATTCGCACTTAGGCGCTCTTAACGGCTAATGATGCATGCTCTTATTGGCTGCTGAGCAAGAATACGACGATAGTCACTCGTCACGCTCTTCCTTTTTAGTTTTCAGTGTTCCTACCAGAAGATATATGTAGGATGTATTGTATGAAAAACACTAATTAAAAAAAAGAAAAGAAAACATGCTCACCAGCGCGAACCTGGACGTCCCTGCTGCCAAGAACGCCGACTCTGTTCGCTGCGGTACACCTGTACACTGCGCTGTGCACGTCTTGCCTGTACTGCTCTGCACGGAAGGGTTCGAACACGATGGTACCGTCGGGCTGCAGCCTCCGAAGCCCCGGTATGTCCAACGCCGATCGCGACTCAGCTCGCACTTCGCTCTCGACGGTCACCCAGCGTATGTCGGGGACGGGATGCCCCTTCGCCGCGCAGAACAAGGCGGCACCGGTGCTATTCACGAACCGAAGTCGAGCTGGTGGCTCCCGGACAAAGTAAGGCGCATCTCCAGGTAGTGAGGCACCTGTGAGGATACAAGAAAACATTATTTATTAATTAAAAAAATAAAAAAAACACGCGCACATTTTTTTTGTCATTTTTAGATATGAATGATTTGATGTATTAAAACACACAATTAAATGTACGCTGACAAAAAAAAATGTTTTAATAAAAGTTATGATATAGACTTTTGGCGAAAAATAAAAGCGACGACTGTAGGGGTCGGTACCGTGTTCTCCTGATAATCGCTCTGATACCATTGACTTGGTAAGGAGACCGCGTACATCATGTATTGGTCTTCACTCAGTTTAAAACATCATATTATAGTTCCTTTAACAGCTAGTAAAACTAGAATTATAGTCGAATATGAAACGATCAACTATTTCGAACTCTTTTACAATGAAAGGTTATCCAGGGTTGTGAAAAGAACGCTTCAGTGTTCATAGTAAAAAAAAAACGAAGACAAAAACAAAACAACTCGTTTGGTTAGCTAGACGCTTGGCTAAAATTTATTTGGCTATTGTGAAACAAATTCAATACCACCACAATGGATCTCTTTTGTGGTTTAGTTGTGTTTTGAGCGCAGTGTATAATATACCAGTACGACTACATGGTTGTCATGCCATTTGTGAGATTTTCCAGTCTTGTTTTATGGCGTTTTGTTTCTCACAGCTTAGACCAGATAATAAAACGGAATGTTTTTTTTTTACTAGCGGGTATAGCATGTCCTACCATCAAAAATACATACATAAAAAAATTAAAAAAGAGTCACAAAATTAAAAGACAGTCTGGTTTTATACCTTGATCGTCTGGTTCATCGATCGCAGAATTTGACATCACATAGCCTGAGAATGCTGACCATAGTTTTGTTCATTTACTTCACAGAAATAACAAAGGTCGATTCGGTCACCTCAAGAGTGCGTCATTGTTAATCTTTTTCATCCTTTATTAGCCTTCACTTTTTGGTCCTTTGTTTCTTTTTCATTATAACCGCTTCTTGTGCTCAAGTTCACTCGGACATGGTTGCAGCTTGCGACAAAGATTGTGTAACGTTTCGATTTTGTGGTTGTAATTCTCAAATTTCACGTTTGAAACCCGGGCTCCGAGAAATGCCTGAGGTATAATGTATATAATGTGCGCCCAAAAAAACAAAAATAAAATCTCAACGAACATTGTGATTAGCAAAGGCTATGCACAGGAACAGCTGTGCCTAAATATTAGCTACTTCGCAATGAAATGATAATTTATGTTTATTACACCTATTGTCAAATTGATTTTATCGTTTTTAATGACAGTTGTTAAGTTATGTGAGAATTCATATTCTGATTAGTTCAAAATTCCTGCATAACTAGGGTGACCAGAGTCTACAGCGTAGAACGCGGAACATCGGTGAGAGGCGGGGGGGGGGGGGGGTGAGAGGGGGGGTAAGAGGGGGGAGCAAGGACGAGAGAAAATGCAAAGAGCTTTGTGTGCAACAACTCTATGCAGTTTGCATTAAATTTTTTAATTCGCTCTTCCCGATCGAGCGCAGGGCGAAGTTTGGACACGACTTGTGCCCAATTTCAATTCCCCGCGCTCAGTCGACAGAGATGAAGTTAAAAAATCACGTCGTGCGTCCCCGTCGGGCTTCAGTAATTGAACCCGAGCCCTGGCCGAACGCTGATGCAGTGTTTGGTTATGTGGACCGAGCGCTGCGTCAAAGTACAAACTAATTATCCATGTTGATGTTGTCCTGATCAGTGAAGTTCCCAAGCTTGCCACTATGGGTGAGACGGTTGAATCTCCTACTAAATAGTACGATGGAAAAGTGCACCACACAGAATGTATTTACAGATGGAATCCCAGAAACAGTTCTAAGTTTACTCTATGTGAAATAACTATTTCTAATATACACAATTAGAAAAGGGGTGTAGCCCTTACACCCCTTGTGATATACACGACACCCCTAAACTTGAATTGGACGTACTGCGCATTGACGTTCAACCGACGCCACCAACGTTTACGAGCGGTTTGATAGCCGAGTTGTACACCTTAATAAAATAGCGTTAATAAGTATAACTGACTGCAAAAAAGTAATCGGGGTTTTCTTAGACCTGCTGAAAAAAATCCATTTTTTTCTTATTCATTGATGCGTACTTTATCTGTTTACTATCTTATATCGCACCGTCATCAAGCCTCTCGTAAAAGTTGGGGCAGTCAGTTTGATGTCAGTGTGCCGTACGTCGAAATGAGATTTTGGGGTGCCGTGTATCTGACAAGGAAGTAAGGGCTACAACATTTTTTTAGAATGCGTTTATTTTTATCAAATGTATTATGTCTTATTTTAGTTTTCTTTCACTCGCTTAGCACACATTTCGAAACTATGCATGGGCTGGCCCACAAAAGCAAGGACGTGAGGCTTCATGGATACAACACTGAGGAATCGGTAGGAATGCACATTTAATGCGGTACTCTGTGGTGAACTTTTCAGTGGTTTGAATTTCTGCATTCGATTTTATTGTCGAAGTGATGAGTCTCATTACGAAAACGTTTAGTAACAATTCAAAAGTCTTAAGCTTTCTCGCTGTAACTGTAGGATTTAATATCATGACGCAAATTCGTTAGAAGCTCCAAAAGGTGCATGCGCATATGCAAAACCAACACCACTGTTTTTAATCCTAGCTCTTCCGAAGCTCCGATTATCTATCCAAATACCGGAGTCTACACCCGACGGCTCATCATCATTCCCCAAAACGAAGAAAAACAAAACGCCAACGAGTCCCGCCTCCGAAGAAGGTAACAGCCACTTTATCTAAGGGCAGCTCTGGGAGCCAAAATTAGGCTCCGCTGCTGCATATTTAACCGGTATTCCCTAATGACCGTTCTCAAGACCCTAAGGCGCGCTACAATCCCACCCACTCGCACTTTTCCTCTTCTCCAACTTTTCCCTCTTTCAACTTTCCGCCGTATAACGTTTTTTTTTTTTTTCAACTTACTCTCTCATTCTTTCTCTTTGTTGGCGAAGTGTAGGTAGCGGAATGCGTTCAGATGTATTCGGCTTTGTTCTTGGGGAATGGCCGATGTTAATCTTTTATATTGCTCTTCTTTACTTTCAAAAATGACATGAAAAATTATTCTTCTGTGTTTATCTTCCTTTTTTCGCAGTCCGGTGTCAAGTGACAACGCTGACACTGTCTCATTGAAGGAGATGCTGTCGTAATGTAGAGGGATTTCTTCGCAGGACAGAAATATGTAATCTACGGAGTCAGCGTCCTTAATATCTCGGAAAATAAATGTTTTCTTTACCAGATTCTTTTGGTATTTAAGAAATATTTTAATGAATAATTTTCAATTTTTTGCTTAAATTGAAAAATATGTTAATACTACTTCAAATGCCTTTCCAGGATTTAAAATAGTTCTAGTCAAACTCAGTGTTTTAATATTTAGTTAATTTTAAATTGTGGTGGAAAGGAAACAAAAATGCAATAATCAAAATAAAAGAACTAGACATAGCGAATACTTATGCTCAGATCTCGTTCTGATGCAAACTTTGCAACATAAGCTGGGCCAGCACTTTTGAAGTATTGCTTTTGAGAGTACCAATATTCAAGGTACGTGTACGCTTTTCAGTTTCACACTGAGTGTCTTCCGTTACTAACTACCCCTTAACGAAACGGCGCTTGCATCATTGCCCGATTTGTTTAGAGCAAAAAGTCATGTGGTGAAATTAAAGTTTTAATGGAACCGAAACGTTTACGGCACAGGGAAGTTGCATTAACAGTTGCGTATCAGAACGTTGAGCGTGTTGATAAAATAACAAGAGATTAACATGAGTGTCACAAAAACGAAGAAAAAAACAAAGCCTGCGCTTCGCGATTTTCTTTTTGTTCTTTTCAAGTACACAAAATATTGCGATATAAATGTATTCTGACGCCACAAAAAGCTATAACGCAAAGGTTTATAAACCTTTTTTTACCAATGCGGACTCTATTAGTCTTCTTGGGTTTACTTGTGATCCATCCCACAATTCAAATAAATACGTAGCACGACCTCGATCTGAGTCCCATGCATCTCTGGAAAAGCTATGTTAGATTACAGACAACTACGTTGCATTGGGTGTGCGAAGAACCAGCTTAGAGCTTCCCAAATAAATGGGTCGGCCTGTAAGAAAACACATAGTAGCACATTTGGAGCTCTTATCTAAGAAGTTCAACGCAGAGGAAATGCCAGGCTCCTGCTCTATTACATTCCGCGGGGATTTCGATCATGCAGCAATCTGCGATCGACTCAGGGGATACATCAGCCGCAGGCCCAGCTCTTGCAGTCTTGCTCATTTCACCAACTTATGATTCGTCAGTGCTAAGGTTCGCCCCACGACTTCCTCCTGCCCTCGGCTAATTATCCACATACAACTGAACTTTAAATTTTTTTTGCTGAGGGATCCAATGAAGAGACTTCAGATTGTTTAGAATAAACCTGGTAAAGACTAATCACTCACAAAACACATGGTAACGAACCGTGCCGGCACATGCACAATACAGCTTTTTTTTACAATGTTGTAAAATACAGTGAAAGCTACTCTAATGACCTATTTACAGGAGAGATGCATGACCAAGGGTACACAATATAGGGGGACAATGGTCATGATGAGTTACATAATTAAGTACACTTCGGTCTTTAACTTTTTTAAATTGTGAAAATGGAGAGATGATTCCAATTTGAAACATGCTTAAAATAGCCATGAAACGAGCTTGAAACCGAATTCCATCCACTTTGCGTCGTAAAAAACGTGGAAAGAAAGTAAAAACACAGAAGTAGTGAGCCATAATAATTTTTTCGGCATATAAATTTTAAAAGAAAAACAAACTTTTTTATACCATCTTCATTTCGAAAGCTCTCGGCGTTTTCACTGCGATGCATCCCCGGTGCCAAAGCGGGTCAGTAAAATTTGCGTCGCTTCTAGTATAATAAGCTACCTCACCAGCAAACGCAATCATAAACAATAAATTGTCGGCGAATTTTGAGAAGTTTTGCTAAAGAGTATTC